AAAAAAAAAAAAAAAAAAAAATGCAGATTCCCCAGCTGGCTCTGGATCTTGGTGCATGTGGCACCGCAGGGACAGCTTTCAAAGTACTGATGCCCGGGCCCTCCACAGATCACCACGTAAGTAGACCAGGGCAGCCTGGCATCAGCTTCCAGTGACAGCCAGGGCTGAGACCCACTGGTTAGAACTTGATGCAGACTCATACAAAAGCTGCGGAGTGTTTATTTAAAAACAAAACAAAAACTTGATGCAGACCTGGTACACGCTGAATTTGAGAGCCATTGCCTTAAAGGGATTCAGGGCCTAGGGAGTCCACTCATTGATTCACTCATTCATTCATTCATCCATCCATCATCCATCCATCCATCCATCCTTCAATCCATCCTTTATCTCTGCAGCCCTTCTGTGTGCCTGAGACCTTGGGTGCCCTCACAAGCTGGCCCTTGGAACCACAAGGTGGAATCTGGCTGCATCTTTGATTCTCTCAATGGCTTTTTTTGTGGATCACTTAGCCCTGCACCACCTTCCACACCGGGAAAGTATTTAACCAGCTCCCGGACTGCTGGGCCTTCTGCCTGCTTCCAATTTTTCCCAATTAATCCATGCAGTGGTGGGCTTCCTGGCCAGTGGCCAGGGTGAGGTTCTCAGGTAGCTCTGCCTGAAAGGCACCACTGGGTCATGGGGTGGGTGCATTTAATTCCCCACCTGGAGTCCACTGCTTGGGAAGTGCCAAGTGCAGTGGACAGGCCTGCTGTCCTAAGCATGTTTCATCCCACCGAGGCATGGTGTCACAGTGGCTGCTGTTTCCTATGCATCTAGTGTGCGCTGAGCTCATGCCCTGCACTTAGAGACATCACAGTCCACGGCAGCCATCACGGTAATCCCCATTTTATGGTAGAGGAAGTTGGGCCACTGGGAGGTTAAGTCACTTACAGAGGTCACACAACTAGGGACATGAAGTTCGAATCCAGGGCTGTCTGGTAGCCAAGCCTGGAGGCCTGCACCCACGTCACTTCACCCAGCACTGATGGGACACCCAGCTGTTTGGCCCTTGCAGGGGGGCCCAGGCTGGATGCTGCTCAGTTACCTATTTGGCAGGTGGGAGGCAGGGGGCAGTCTGCCTGCTCCGGGGTCCCCAGGTCCCAGTGAAAGTGGCTCAGAGACCGACCACAAGAGGCATTTCCTGAGGCTACTGGATCAGACCTGGCGCCCACCCAATGAGACTGGGAACAGGCCTGGAATGGTGTGGCCTCCCAGGCGGTTTGGCAGTGTCCCCAGCAGCTGCCTCCTGTCCCAGGCTACTTGAGGTGGACCTCATGGGCTCAGCCCATCCTTTCCTGGGCTCTGCCTGGCACCACTGAGTATCAGCAACAGTCCCACAAGGGGCCCACCAGTCAGTTCCATGAGGCAGCAGGGATTCATGATCTGGTTTTACAGATGAGAAACAGAGGCCCATGAAGGAACTCATCGAGTGCATGGCATGTAGGTGGCAGGGCAGAATTCAAACCGCAGGCTTCTGATTCCAGGCACCATGTTCTTCCCACCACCCTCTGCTTGATAAACGACCTGTTCCTCCATTCCACACCAGAGGAAACTGAGCTCGAGGTGCAAGGCTTCACTCTGGAGCTTCAGGAGCACGTTGGGAGGCTCTGAATTCAGACACTGACCATGTTTTTGTTCTAACCTCCATCTGAATGGTCCCATGGGGGTTTCGGGGGCATGTGTGTGTTATAGCAGAGGCAGGGAACAGAGGCCCCTCGGCACCTCCTCTGGCCTACAGCCCCGGTGTCCCAGAACAGAGCCCTGCCATGCTGCCAGTTCCCCCACCTGACCGTGAGCCCAGCGGACAAGCACTTCTGAGGTTTTCCCTGCTCTCCTGGGCACCCAGGCTGGCCTAAGGCAGAGCAGGGTTCAAGAGCAAGGCTTCCTGAGAAGATGGGAGTGGGGAGGAGAAGGGGACACTTGGTCTGTTTGGGGAGTTTGGCCCCCATCCCCGCAGCCCCTTCCCCGGGCCACCACCAGCCCCATACCATCCCGCCCTCTCCAGTTGTGGAAACTTGTACCTCAGCCCAGAAAAATGAACTTGCTGGAAGTCAGCTGCTTGGCTGCCCGGGGCCAGCCAATCTGCTGCTAGGAGCACCTCACTCCGCTCCAGGGACAGAGGGCCAGGGCTAGACCAGAGGGGCTGAAGGGCAGGCCCTGCCTGAGACTGGTGCCCCAGACAGCAGGGCGGGAACAGAAAGAGGGAGAGGTAGGGAGAGGCGGAGGGGGAGCAGTGAAAAGCCAGGAACAGGGAGACATGGAGACATTAGGGAGGAGGGCAGAGCAGACACACTGTCTCCGGCTGCACACACTCAGGGGGGCACCAGCGCCTCTAGGTCTCCTGGAGCCTGTTCCTCACCTGCATGACAGGCACACTGGGGCACTCCTATCAACCTCGGCCCAGCCACTCAGCGTTTTCCCACCTTTCTCTGCCACCCTGCCTACCTCCCCTTCCCCAGGTAGGCAGAGCTGCTCTGATATACAGTCTAGAACTTACATACAGGCTCCTCTGCGGCAAAGGCAGGGATAAATGGTAATGAGATGCAGAGTTACAGTGATGGTCTCCTTGTCTTGTCCCCATTGTAGAGGAAATTGAGACTTTTCTTTTTTTTCGAGACAGGGTCTCGCTATATTGTCCAGGTTGGTCTCAAACTCCTGGGCTCAGGCAATCCTCCCACCTCATCCTCCCAAAGTGCTAGGATTACAGGTGTGAGCCACCACGCCCAACCAATACTAAGGCTGAAAATGATTAAGTGACATGCACACATCCTTTGGCTACTCTGCAATTTAAATCCAGATATGCCTGAAGCCCGAGCTGTATTTCCTTCCTCTCCCTTGTCTTCCTCCCTCATCTGGGGCCAGCCTCAAAACCTCTGCTCATGTCTTCTACCTCTCTGCCCTTCCAAATGGTCCCCTCACTCTCCAGAGACAGCTGCAGCTGGTCCCATCACCCTACAGAGACATCTGGGGCTCACTGCAGCCACCCAGAAAAGCCTTCTGCCTTAGGCCCAGGGTCCTGGGGCCAGAGGAAACCCATAAATACAAACACATTTGCATGAAGGCCCAGCAGTTAGCTTCCGGGCCAGTGCTGCCAAAAGTGGGAGCGGCCGCTACCAGCTTCCTGGGACAAACATGTCCCCACAACCAGGTTGGTACCATTTGGTGTTTATTTAGACACACAAATAAAAGAACCTGGTGCTAGTGGTTCAAACAGCTTGTCCTTTTTTTTGGTATGTATATTTTTTTGAAAAAAATCAACATATCATCAGTCCCCCACGGTTTTTATCTACTGAGCAATATGTACAGCCTATTATATATATATGTGTCTATATATATAATATATATTTTCAATAGATAACTACATTCAAGTAATGAAACACAGGATTTACAATTTCCCTCCGAGGGCAGAGGAAAAGCAGATTCACACACAGTTCACAGAGGAAGTACCATGAGAGCCTCGCCAGACGCACCGAGGCTGCTCCGGGGGCAGGGCGGGGGCCAGCAGCAGAAGTCACCACAATCCCACTGGTGCTTATCGTGGAGAGCGGGCAGGTGTGGGTGGAGGGCGGGTCTAGCCTGCTCTGACCAGGAACCTCAATCTTCCAGGAGGTGCTCGAATTTGGGGTTCACGAAGGAGAAGCCAGCGAAAGCAGACTGGTCCATGGAGTCGATGAGGTTCTTGTCACTGTAGGAGAGGCGCGCCTTCTCATTCAGGAACTCCTGGTCGAAGTTGCTGTAGTCTCTGGGGGACTTCTGCAAGCAGAGGGCAGGGGTGAGCGAGCAGGACCAAGGGAGTGACCCTCCAGACACCCCGGGCTGGAGTCCCTGCAGGGCGGGGCCAGGCCAGAGCTGTCTTCACCCAGAACATGAGAGGGAGCCTCCCCCAGCAGCCTGAAAGGAGCCCCACAGGAAGGGGGCTGCCAATTCCCCAAGAGGATGAGGAAAGTGACCTGGGAACTCTGGGCCTGGGTGAGGAGAGGTGGTGGCCTCCTGATTAGGGACTAGCAAATCACAGCCCACGGGGGCCAAATCTCACCCACCACCTGTTTTTGTGGGGCCCACAAGCTAAGAATGGCGTTCACATTTTTAAATGATTGGAAAAAAAAAAAAAGATCAAAAGCAAAATAATATTTCATGACATGAAAATTAGGTGAAATTCCCACAAATAAAGTTTTTTTTAGTATACAACCATGCCCATTTCTTAACATATTGTCTATGGTTGCTTTGAGACCATCAAGCCTGAAAAGCCCAAAATATATACTATCAGGCTGTTGACAGAAGTTGGCTGACTCTCTGCTCATAAGGATACGACGGGATGGTAATACAGAGAGGCCGCAAACCAAACTGAAGGGGCAAGCACAATCGTTTCGGCCTGTACTGGGATTTAATGGAATTTGATTATTTATTTATTTATTTATTGAGACAGAGTTTCACTTTTCTTGCCCAGGTTGGAGGAGTGCAATGGCGCAATCTTGGCTCACTGCAACCTCCACCTCCCAAGTTCAAGCGAGTCTCATGCCTCAGCCTCCCAAGTAGCATGCACCACCACCCCTGGCTAATTTTGTATTTTTTTTTTAGTAGAGATGGGGTTTCTCCATGTTGGCCAGGCTGGTCTCTAACTCCTGACCTCAGGTGATCCAACCCCCCTCTGCCTCCCAAAGTGCTGGGATTACAGGCGTGAGCCACTATGTCTGGCCTATTTTTATTTATTTTTTTGCCCACTCTATTGCCCAGGCTGGAGTGCAGTGACACGATCTCGGTTCACTGCAACCTCCGCCTCCCAGGTTCAAGTGATTATCCTGCCTCAGCCTCCTGAGTAGCTGGGATTATAGATGCAAGCCACCACACCTGGCTAATTTTTTTTGTATTTTTTTTTTAATGGAGACAGGGTTTCACCATGTTGGCCAGGCTGGTCTTGAAGTCCTGACCTCAGGTGATCTGCCTGACTCAGCCTCCCAAAGTGCTGCTGTGAGCCACTGAGCCCGGCCTGAATCCGTATTTTAAAATTGAGCAATGCAATATAAAAATCCAGATTTCCGGCTTCTTTTGAAAAAACTGGCAGATTAAAGCAGCCGTGGGCCCACTTCCTGGCATGCCCACTCTTGGTACTGAGAGCTTCGGACAGCCCCTGCCCCATTGACAAGGGGCATATCACACCTGCTTTGTGTTTCTTAGTGTAGAAAAGGAAATCTCTGTCAAAAGTGAGAGTCTGAAAGCAGGCTGTGTGCTCTTCTTGCAGCTGGCCTAGCCTGTCAGTTACATGCTCAGCCAGGACATGTCGGAGTTTGAGGTCCCTGGTGTAGGGGAAGTGCTCTGTAGCCTCAAAGCACAAATGTGGGGCACACAGGCTGCCCAGTGGGAACTGTGTGCCTGGTGGAGGAGGGGAATCAAGGGAGGGAAAGGGAGTGGGAAGGAAAAACTGTGGTCACAGAGGGGCCACACAGCCCCAACTTTCTTAGTGGCCCCACCTGCCCCTGCTCTCAGGCTGGTTCCTTGGTGGCCCTGTAGATTCTGGGCCTGTGAGCAAACCATCCCCTCTTACCCAGCTGTCCCCTGCCTAGCCTCACCCCCTAGCCCTGCTCAAGTCTCACTTCTTCCAAGGGGGCCTCTCAGACCCACCCTCTTCTCTGCCTCCTGGGCTCCTGCTGACAGACCCACCCAAGAGCAACTGATCATGTGTCCTGGGGCATCTCTTGTACTGTGGTCTCTTATCACAAATGGTCATCGGTGTGCAAGTTTCTTATCTCTCCAACTAGCTGAGGGCTCCTCCAGTTGTGGGACTGTATCTTGCACTTCGCTGTGCAGCCTAGCACTGTGCTCTGCATTCAGCAGGAACTCAGGATTTCCCATATGTACTGGAAAATGGATTGGATGGAGTGATAAAGCGAGGCCTCAGCTCTAGTTCCTAAAACAGAGTCCTCTGCATACAGTGGGACCCATAGTCCCCAGTGTGTGCTGAATGACTGAGTCAGGAGGGAGAGGAGGAGAATACAAGGCAGCGGCTATGACTGAACATGCTGTGGAGATCGGGGAGCAGGCCTGCTGGAAGAAGGGAGCGGTGGGAAGCATGTGAATGACGCGGGAGAGAGGGAGGGTAGGGGAGGAGGAGCCCAGCTGGAAGGCAGCGCAGGGCAGCGATCACATACCACTTTGGGCCTGAAGGGCGGCTCCAACCTCCGCTTTTCCAGCAGGGTCCAGTTTATTGTCTTGAAGAAGGGATGGATTTTGATATTTCCGGTCACTCCGAGTCTCTTGGGTGGGTCCCTTTCAAAGAGCTGCAACCCAGCAGGGACCCTGGTTAGCACCCAAGAGCCATGGGGAAACTGGAGCTTCAGCAAATTCCCAGCAGGCCCAGGGATGCACAGCCAGGCTTGCTCCAGTCCAGCAGTCAGCCTGGGGAACGGTGGAGCTGCAGGAGGCCACTCTGGCCTGCAGTGCTCCCAGCACCCCCGGAGAAGACAGGCTCAGGCTAGACATCCGTGACTCTGCTGGTGGGACTTTCTTTTTTTTTTTTTTAAAGATGGGGTTTCACCATATTGGTCAGGCTGGTCTCGAACTCCTGACCTCAGGTGATCCGCCCACCTCAGCCTCCCAAAGTGCTGGGATTACAGGCGTGAGCCACCATGCCTGGCAGGACTTTTTATTGAGTATGTACTATCTGCCTGGCCCACAGCTGAGGATCATACGTTTCTGTTTCCTTTCCAGCAACACTGTGAGGCAAGTCTGCTCACAGCCCCATTTTGCAGATAAGGAGATAAACTCTGAGAGGTTAAGTGACCAGCTAGTCCCAGGCAGAGCCAACGTTTGGCCTCGCATCTATTTCCTGACCCTTGGCCCTAGTCGCCATGTCAGACTAATTCCATGCACAGGATTCAGATGGGAGTTCCCAGGAACACGGTGAGAGAGCAAAACCCCGTGTGTTAGGGCTGGAGCACCACCGAGGGTGCCATTCCAGGGACAGGAAGCTCCTCACCCGAAGCCCAGGGTCCGCCAGCCCCTGCCCCAGCCCAGCCCAGCCCAGCCCAGCCCAGGGCCTCCACCTTCTCCAGGATGTCCTTGGACTCCTTGGTGATCCAGCGGGGATAATGCGGCGTGTCCACACGGATGGACTCGAACAATTCATCCTCATCGTCACCATGGAAGGGGGACTGGCCAATGAGCATCTCGTAGAGAAGGACCCCAAAAGACCACCAGTCCACAGAGAATGTGTACTTCAGGCCCTGTAGAATCTGGGGGGCAGCAGCAGGTCAGCAGGAGCTGAGGTGCTGGGGCTGAGAGGGACCCCTGGGCACAAGCCCCAGCCAGGCCTCCTCAGCCTCTGGGCTTTGGCTTGGACATCACTGCCCTTGGGAAGCCTTCCATGGCCCACCATGGGGAGGCAAGGTGCCTGAGTGAGTGGGGGCTGGCAGGGTATTGGCTCACCTCAGGGGCAATGTAGTCAGGGGTGCCACAGAAGGTGCTGGCCCGGTTCTCCCCGAATATGTTCTCTTTGCACATCCCAAAGTCAGCAATCTTGATGTGGCCATCCCGGTCCAGCAGCACATTGTCCAATTTGAGGTCCCTAGGACAGGGGACAGGAAAAAGAGTCATCAGGGGCCAATTCTCCTTCCCAACCCTGCTCCCCACATCCTAATTTTCGGCCGTATCAGTCCAGGACTGTCCCCAAAGGTACAAGGGAATGAGAAAGAGAAAAGGAAACAAGAAACAGATCCTAAAAACTGGCTTCCTGCAAGTTCCCCACTGTGTGCTAGACACTGGGCCCACACTGCCCTACTTCCTGAAGCCCAAATGAAGCTCAAACAGCGCATGTCACTTGCCCTGGGTTCCCTTGCAGTCAGCAGAAAAAGTGATCCCTGGGTTCAGGTTTGTCTACTCCCCAAAGGCAGGGACCATGGCTATATTTATGTAATTAGTCATTTGATTAGATACTTTATGCATGCAGGAACTAGAAATGGCAAACAGTACAAAGTCTTCCTTCCACTGGGCTCAATCACCAGGCTCTCCTTAGAGCAATTCTAGGCGTAGACAGGTCTATGGCAGCATGCAGCTCACTCACACTATTTTTTTTTTTTTTGAGACAAAGTCTCACTCTGTCACCCAAGTTGGAGTGCAGTGGCGCAATCTTGGCTCACTGCAACCTCCCCCTCCCAGGTTCAAGTGATTCTCCTGCCTCGGCCTCCTGAGTAGCTGAGATTACAGGCATGCGCCACCATGCCTGGCTAATTTTTGAATTTTTTTAGCAGAGACAGGGTTTCACCATGTTAGCCAGGCTGGTCTCGAACTCCTGACCTCAGGTGATCCACCCGTCTCAGCCTCCCAAAGTGCTGGGATTATAGGCGGGAGCCACCGCGCCCGGTCTGGCTCCCACTTTTTAAAGCCTGAATGCTAATATTTGACACCTACTCTCTCATAGGTTGGTTTCCACTTAACATATCTTGGCCTTATCCCACATCCATGCCTGGCCTCAGCCTTTTCAGTGGGTGAGCAGTTCCCACCATAGGATGGAATCATAACTTATTAGATGAGATTTTATGGAACCATCCCTTCTGGTGAAAGCGTAGAAGACTCGATGGGGCTTCAGAGCAAAACTGATGGCTCCAAGAATGAGAGACTGTAAAGTTCAGCGCCGCCCTCCCCACCAATGGTGTCAAATATGGGCAGTGAGTTCCTAGTTCCTGGAGCTGAACCAGCCTCAAATGGGGGGCCACAGGAATGCTAGCACCAGGGTAGGACGTTTAGGCAAATACCCAGCTAAAGACAGATTCCCAGCAGAGAAGGAACAGGAGCTGGGCAGGATCCTGCTTGGAGCATTTCAGAAGACATAAGGGGGCTGGAGCCTCCCCTCCCAAGAGCCCCCTACCACCCTAACCCCTGCACCTGTAAATGATGCCCTTGCTGTGTAGAAACTGCAGTCCACAGATGATCTCGGCTGCATAAAACCTGGGCAAGAGAGAGAAAGAGAAAGTGTTCCAGGATCTCTGCCAAGCAGCCTCTGCTTCTCCTCGGGCCCTCACCCCCACCTCTAGGGGCAAGAATTGCTGCAAAGAACTCCATGGACAACCTGAGCCTGATCAAGCATATCTTGTATCAGGCAAGCAGGGGCTGGCAGCCCAGGCAGAAAGTTCTGAAGGGAAAGCTCTCAGTGAGCCAATTCTCTGTCTGAGAGTGTATGCATTTATATGCATGTACGTAGGTGTTTGCGTGCATGCACGTGCACACACACATACACAGAGTTTGGGGGAGGGGCATGTGAATAAGAAAAAACATTACAATGCAGGTCTGGGGGCCACACACCAGGGTCCCGTGTCGTGCAGGACCACTGTCTGCAAGGCTGCCCTGGCTGCTGCCCATGGAGGAGCCAGGCCCCAGAGTGCTTGTGCCCACAGCCACAGCCTACTTGCCACCCATGGCTTCCTGTGTGGTATGGACCCAGGCTACCCCCATATCTCCCCAGCTGCCACTCAAGCTCAGGCTGGCTTTTCTAGGGAGAGAGAAGAAGGCATGGAGGGCAGACTAGCAGTGGGCTCTGAGCCAGTAGCTCTTCCTCTGCACTGGGCCCCTCCCCACATGGCACTCACGTACGTGGCACGGTAGAGTTCAAAGCGGCCTTTGTCCTGGATGTGGTACATCAGGTCCCCCCCATTGAGGAACTCCATCACGAAGAACAGGTGGTCCTGGGGTAGGAAGGGTGGTGAGCAGGGGTGAGGAACAGGCGGGAGGTGCCCTCACTGAGTGCCACTGGGGCCACGCACCAATAGGAAAGAGCAGGGACAGGCCCTGGCTGTGGGGGACAACTCTGCCCTGGGAGGTGTGAGGGGAAAACACGGCCCTCCCTTAGGTGAGGGGGAGACATGGCCCTGACTCAGGGGGGCCGAGGGGCTGCGGCACATGGCATAGGGCGGTGGCGGCGGGAGGCATGGGCACCTTGGTCTGGAAGGTGCAGATGAGGTGTGTGAGAAAGGGGTTCTCCGCGGCGAGCGACAGCACCCGCTTCTCCACCATGGTGCATTCCACGTCATCATCGATCAGCACCACATCCTTCTTGAGGGCCTTGACGGCAAAGTACTCTCCCCTGCCCTTCAGCTCTCCAAGCAGCACCTGATGGGAGGCAGGGGTTCTGAGCAGCGGAGGACGGGGCAGGGGCCACAGCCCGACCCACAGACTCCCAACTCGGCCACCTAAGCGGAATAATCCAGGGTGGGTGGGAAACAGGTGCCTGGTCGCAGCCCTCACCTTCCCAAAGCTGCCTTTGCCCAGGACCTTGTGGAAGATGAAGTTGTTGATGTTGCACTTGCTGCTGCCCTCCCAGATCTTGCCGTAGGTGCCACTGTTGTCTGCCCGAGAGATAGCATCTCCTCAGATCAGGGTCTCAGTGTACACAGCTCCCCTCCCCTGGGACCCAGGGTAAGCTGGGGAAGGGGCCACAGCGGAAGGGGCTTGCTCCCCAGTGCCAGTGGTTCCTCCCATGTCTCCCTTGACAATGGAAGGGAGGATGGTCCTCTTTCTGTGGCCTCATGGGGAATAAAAACTGTAATAGGGGTAGTGGAGCCAGCTTTACCCAGTGAGTCCTCCCCAGAGATTCCAGTCTTCTTCTCGAAACCCTGGTATATCCCAACAGGCTCTGAGGAGGCTGATTCTGATCTCCGGGAGGCTCTCTGGGGAGGGAGCAGAGGCGGGGGACCAGACAGACCATTATCAGAACTCCCAGCACAGAGGGAAGACTCCCCAGCTGTAACTCCACCCTCAATGCCAAGAGGAGACAACAGGGGCACAGCCCTGGCCCCCTAGGCAGGCTGCATGGACGCACACACTTCCAGCAGCCCAGAGAAGCCTCGGTGGTCTGAAAGGCTCTGATTACAAACAGAAGTTTTGTAGACTGAACCCTACCTTCCAACCACTCACTCGACAGATTTTATTTGACTATTTAACTTCATTTCTGATTGATTCTAAAATTTTACCTTGAGGTTTTGTGGCATCCCTCAAGCCCCACCCACATACAAATGTCCACACCCAAAGTCTTAGTTCAAAGTGTTCCAACATCCGATCCTGCGGTCCCCCAGGTTTACCTTCAAGTAAAGAACTGCTTGATTAATAAATTTCTCATGAGAAAAAGCACCCCTCCCTCTGCTGCCTAAATTCTTAAGTTGGATCTTCCCAAAGTAGAATCCTGGCTCTAAATACACCCTGGCTGCCTGTGGCTCCCCAGAAGTGGCTGTGAGCCTTGACTGTCCCTGACCCCACTGCCCTGTGTCCAGGGTCCCCTGGCATCTGCCCACCTGTGAGACTTGGTTCAAGGCCTCAGCCAAGAGCTTCTGGTTGATGCCGCAGAGGTTGGCCACCTTCTCCCGGCACTTATGGTGCACATTCATGCCGCAGTCTGAGGTGTGAGAGAGAAGTGGGGCTGTCAGTCTCAGAGCTCAGCCAGGGGCAAGGGGTGGTGGAGAAGAGGGGCAGGAGAGCAAGAGAAAGGAGGGATTTCGGGGGTCTGCTGGGTTGCTGTTTTTAGGAAAACATTGATCTGAAGCTATCATAAACACTTCAATCTTCTTTTTTTTTATGAGATGGAGTTTTGCTCTTGTTGCCCAGGCTGGAGTGCAATGGCGTGATCTTGGCTCACCGCAATCTCCGCCTCCTGGGTTCAAGCAATTCTCCTGCCTCAGCCTCCCGAGTAGGTGGGATTACAGGCATGTGCCACCACATCGGCTAATTTTGTATTTATAGTAGAGACAGGTTTCTCCATATTGGTCAGGCTGGTCCTGAACTCCTGACCTCAGGTGATCCTCCTGCCTCAGCCTCCCGAAGTGCTGGGATTATAGGTGTGAGCCACCGCGCCCAGCCAAGCACTTCAATCTTTCATGATTTAAAGAAAAAGGAAAAAGCAGAAGACATGGGACCTAATTTGAAACCCTTCAAAGAACATCTGGGTCAAGTTAAGCACATTCCCTCCAGGGTCTCCTGTCTTATCTCTAAGTGAAGCAGAGAGCAGGGGAGGCCTGCGTGGGTCACCTGACAGTGTGCACCAGGCCTTCTTCAGCACCCTCTGCCCCCTGACCCCTCACAGGGACTCTCTAGGTCCTGCTCTTCCCCTCCAAACAGCTCAGAGGGGTGAAGCCACCTGCCTGTGGTCATACAGCAGGTAAGTGGCAGGGTCCACCAAGGCCTAGCCCTCATCAAGCCCCTGAATACGGTGCCCATCTCTAGGTGAGGGAGTGATGTTGTTGGCATGGGGTGGCTCGAGTTCATGGCAGCACCAGCTGGGAGTGCCCCTCCTGTAGCCCAGGGGCGGGGTGGCACACACCTTCACACTTTAATCCCTGCTTCACCAGTCCCCAGAGCAGGCTGCCGCAGTGGTCGCAGAAGGTAGGGCTCATGTAGTTGTAAACCTTGAAGCGGTGCGGCATGTCGATGTTGAAGCGTTCTTTCTGGAACTGGGGGTGGGGGTGTCACAGGCTGAGGGGCATGTGCCAGCTCCAGCCCCTTCTTCAACCCCTAGGTACCCCCAACCCCATGCACAACAAGATCCCAAGAGAGCGCCACTGTGAGAGGCAAGGAAAGGCTAAGAAAAATGGGGAGGGAGGGTGAGCTCCCCAGGGAAGTAGGGGAGACAGCAAAAAACCCTCCCATCTGGCCAAGCCCCCAGACCCCCAGCCGTGCCCGGACCCAGGCTCACTATGGTGTCCCGGCTGTTGGCCGCGGTGCCAGTGCATCTGCCGATGATCTTGTCGATGCATTTCTTGTGGATGGCAGCGTTACATTCTTGAAGAGGCACAGGCCCAGGAGGGGGAAGGGAAGGCACCGGGAGGGGCAGAGTCTATGAGCTGGTGCCTGCCGGCCCAGCCCAGCCCAGCCCTCTACACAAAGCCACCGTTCTCCTGACCACCCACACCCTCACCCAGCAGAGGCCCAGCACTTGAGTCTTCCTCCCGCCAGCCCTCAAAGGAGGGGCCTGAAGAGGACAGGACAGAAAGGACAGGCCAATCTGCAGGGGCTCAGAAACAAGGGAGTCCTGGTGGGCAGGGAGGTGGGCACGAGGCATTGCAATAAGGGAGGTGGGGGCAGTTCTTTCCCTCTTCCAAGGCCTGGGAAGCAAACAGCTCCTAAGTGCCTTCTCTCACACATGCACACGGACACGCCTCAAAACAGACACATGTACATACACGCAAAGCATGTGTAATAATGATAACGGACTTCTTGCACAGAACCCCTTCCAGTAGAAGCACTTAAAATACAGCTTTACATATCTTATACCATTTGAGCTTCACAATGACTCTTCTAATTATATCTATAATTATAATTAGGTATAATGATAGATTGTAGTTATATCTAATTTATGGATGAGGGACAGGCACGATGGCTTAAGCCTGTAATCCCAGCACTTTGGGAGGCCAAGGTGGGTAGATCACTTGAGGTCTGGAGTTCGAGACCAGCCTGGCCATCATGGCAAAACCCCCATCTCTACTAAAAATACAAAAATTAGCCGGCATGGTGGTGCATGCCTGTAATCCCAACTACTTGGGATGCTGAGGCAAGAGAATCATTTGAACCTTGGAGAAGGAGGTTGCAGTGAGCCAAGATCGCACCACTATACTCCAACCTGGGCAACAGAATGAGACTCAGTCTCAAAAAATATATATAGATGAGGAAACTGAGGCACAGAGAAGTTAAGTAACTTTGCCTAAGGCCCTATAGCTAGGAAGTTGTAGAGCTGGGATTCAAACCCAGGCAGTCTGGCTCCAGCCCCCGGCGCCTGGTGCATGCACCCTCAGGGAGAGAGTGTGCTGGCACCTGTGTACACAGACACCCGCCTCTACACAGAAGCACATGCAGCCATTGTGTGCTAGTAAAGGTCTCATAAAAGAGGCCTGGTGTGTGGCCTGGGCTGGTTTCTGTGTGAATACTCTACTATGGCCAATTGCCAGCCACCAACTCCCAGTCACTGAACGTAGAGCCGGGAAGAGATGCGCAAAACTGGCTTTCCAGAGCAGCAGCAAGCCAGCCCAAGCACCCACTGAACTCAGCTGCTGTATCTACACTGGGACAACTCATGTGCACATACTGAGCGCACACAGGCACTGGCACGTGAGCACACACGGTACATACATACAAACTGGGCTGTGGAGACACTTACGCCTGCATTTGTAGCCTTGCTTGTTGAGGCCCCTGAAAGGCAAAGTCCAGGCAAAGTGAGTAAGGGGGAGCCCAGGATCGGCCCCCACTACCCTGAACCACCAGCAGTGGGCACGGCCATCTCTCACCAGACAAAGTCTTTGCACACAGAACAGAAGGTGGGTTGCCCAAAGAAGGTGGCGATAAACTCATGGTTCTTGATGTAGTGGATTTTGGCCTGTTTGATGGCTCCACGGCGGTTCATCGTTGGGAACTTGGCCTCGTCCTCACTACGCATAGACTGTTTGCAATCTGGAGACCACAGAGTGGGGGAAGTCAGCCCCAGTGTCTGGGTGGTGTGGCACCCCTGCCGTCCCTCCAAGGGTGGCCCTGGACATCTCTGCCAAAGGGAGCTGCTTCCCTACACCTCAGTGCTGGCTCTGCCTCTGAACCCAGCAAGGGAACCCTCCATTCCCAGGGAGTTCTTACCCACGTCCTCCAGGAAATACTGCACAGACATCAACACCTTGGCCTGGGGCTGCAGGTCCAGCTGTTGGGGGCCAGCGGCCAGGGGAGAACAAGGTCAGTGAGGGCGGCCTGGGCCAGGCCGAACTCAGAACCCGCCCCCATGGCTGGTACCCCAAGGCCAAGGTAGCCCCGCTAAGGCCCAGCAGACACCTGTCTGCCCAGTGTGGGCTGGGCCCTGCCCAAGCCCCACCCCTGAGCCCCACCCCCACCCTGTACCCAGGGGTATTATTACATTTGGGGAAGTGAAAGGGTCCAGCCCACACCCAGCCCAGACACATAGCTGGGGAACAGAGTGGGAAGGGAAATTCCCCACCTCTACCGGCTGCAGCCCCCTTAGCAAAGATCTTAGAATGGAGGCCCCTACCCATGCGCACATGCGGAAAGAGACAGATACATTCATCCTCGTGCACCCACGCTGCTCCTCCCTCGGTGTCAAGGGCTCCTCATGTAGACTGGATAGTCTCAAGGGTGGGATCTGAGCCTCTATCGCTTCACCTCCCCCAAGACCCAGACCTGGTGACTGACATCCTCCCTTAGGGGAGTGGAGACAGCATAGCCAGAGACCCCTCTGTGTCCTGCCCAACTAGCTAAGGGTCAGTACAGCCCTGTGTCAACCTCTCTCCCATCCCAGCCCCCTCACCCCTCACAGGAGGCTGACCGGAGCCTCCAATGGTCCCAGGGCCTTTCCTGGTGGAGACATCTTGGTTACATCCCACATGTAACCCCAGGGGAGTTCTGCTAGCACTGGCATCTTGTGGCCACCCAGAACACACAGGTGGCCACATGCATGTGCAGAGTCTCCATTTCAGCAGGTGAGTAGATGAGACCATCAGCCTCCCCTTCTCCCACTTCCTTGCTGTTAAAGATCATTATGTTGCCCCCTCCCTGCCTGCCGAGGCCTAGAATATACACGAAGATTTCAAAAAGAACTGAAACAATGGATGCCTCTGGAAAGCAGGCCTGGTGGGGCCTGGTGTTGGGGCAGAGACACATCCTTTCATGCAGTTCAAAATGTTTTACTATGTGCATATCCTGCCTTTCCAAAATTAAAAAGGAAAAAGTAGTCACAATAAGGAAGTTGGGCGCGTTTAGCACCTACTATGTCAGGTTCTGCAGTAAGCCCTGTACATCCAGCTGCCCCTTTCGTTTGAACAGCTGACCCTGAGGTAGGCACATTTAGCAGAACCCTCCCTTAACAGATGCAGATGCAGAAGCTCAGGGAGGCTGGGGATCTGGTGAACTGCAGAGCCAGGATTCACACCCAGGCCACATAGGCCGCAGAGCTGGACTGGTGGCCAGCACAGGGCTCGGTGACCTTCAGCTGTGCCCACTGTCTGAGCCCACGCACACAGGCACATGCGCGCGTGTGTGCGCGCGCGCGCGCACACACACACACACACACACACACACACACGCCCTCGCGGCTCGTGAGCCCCTCACCCAGAACTCGGCCTTGCCGTTGTTCTTCTTGCAGCGCTCGGCCAGCACCGACACACCCACGGTCACCTCAGACACGGGCTCCTCGGCTGCCCGCATTAGCACAATCTGGATGACGCGGCCCTCGTAGATGTGGGCGTCAAATGTTGACTTCCACTCGGGATACATGGTCGGCTTCTTCTGCACCAGTGTTTTCCCACGCTCTGCAACGGGGTCAGGCAGGGAAGGTTAGGCCAGGGCCCCTCTGTCCCTTCCTCCTGGACCTCCACAGCCTTCCCCTGGTAGAACCTGCCTGGCTCTCCTGCCCTGAGGGCCTGCTGTGCTCCCCCAGTGCCCTCTAGAGCACAGAACTGCCTAGGGCGCCCTGCTATGTCCTCCCATCAGGCCTTTGCTCCTGCTGTTCCCTCTTCCTGTGACCCTCTTGCTCCAGCTCCATTTAAATGTCGCCTGACCTTATGCATTCACTCAGGGAACATGGGCTGAAAGCTGTTGCATGCCAGCCATAGTATTTGAGGTACAGAACACAGCCGAAAGAAAAGCTACATCCGGGGCCTATCCTTCCTGGATCCCCAGTCCCGGGTGGAGAATGCACCAACTCCCTCAAGTAACCGTTAAGCCACAGCTGTCATGAGACCGAAGAGGGCAAGGCTGGTAGTGCTAGACCTGCCTCTGGTCAAGTGGCCACAGGGTCAAGCCTAAGGGTCAGGGGAGATTTCCTGAAGGAAGGGACAGTTCAGCCAATACCTAAGGGACAACTAGGGGTTTGCCAGGCCAGGGCAAAAGCAAGAGGGAATGGTGTGAAGTCCTCCTGACCTCAGGCTCGGAGGGTGCCTTCTCTGGGCTTCCCTGTTGCAGGACTCACTGTTTTGTGACATGTCTGGTTTCCCCACCTGACTGTAAGCCCCCCAGGGCAGGGCAAGGTCAGTCCTGGAGCATGACAGTATCCTCAGCGCCCAGCAAAGGGCCTGGCACAGGTGGAGATGTGGAAATTGTTGGTAAAACAACCAGTGGAGGAGGAGCCAGAAACTCCAGCCCCAAAGAGGGCTTAATTTGGCCAGTGTTCGTGGCCCTATGGAGACTCAGTGGCCTCTGCCTTCATAGCTGGGTGGGGCAGGGAGTCAAAGACGAGGAAGAGAAGAATCCTTCAGAGGTTCCAGGGAACAAGACCAGGCCTCCTCAACTCCCTCCAGCTGAGCCCAGATTCCCAGCCCCTCTCCAGGGTCCAGCCTCCAGGTCTACCTGTGCTGAGTGCCTCCTTCATCTTCACAGCACAGAAGGGCTGGTTCGCCTCATCCTCAGCCTGCAGGGAGCCCAGCTCGTAGGAGTTGAAGGAGATGCGCAAGAATGGTGGCATGGCGGGGCCTGCAGTGGGGCTGTGCACACAGAAGGGTGAGGCTAGGTGGTCACGCAGGACCAGCAGGAGCAGCACTCAGGGACCCACTCCCCAGGGCTCTCCCAAGGTTGGGTTTGGCCCACATGGTATATACCCATGATAGTCCCAGTTGCTAGTGTTAAAAATTGAGAGGTTTTAAAGCATACAGGTGCCAGCATCTTGTCCATGGCAAATGCTGGACTCAACACAAACGGTTCCCCGTTTTTCATCTGCCAAGACTGAGTGGTTGGATGGCATGCCTGTGGTCTTTGGTAAGGTGAAAGAGGGCATGAATATTGTGGAGGCCATGGAGCGCTTTGGGTCCAGGAATGACAAGACCAGGAAGAAGATCACCATTGCTGACTGTGGACAACGCTAGTGAGTTTAACTTGTGTGTGTGGTTTTTTTTTTTTTTTTTTTGAGACAGAGTCTTGCAGTGTCACCCAGGCTGGAGGGCAATGGCGCGATCTTGGCTCACTGCAATCTCCGCCTTCTGGGTTCAAGCAATTCTCCTGCCTCAGCCTCCCGAGTAGCTGGAACTACAGGCATGCACCATCATGTCTAGCTAATTTTTTTGTATTTTTAGTAGAGACGGGGTTTCACCTTGTTGGCCCAGATGGTCTTAATCTGACCTCATGATCCGCCTGCAGTGGCCTCCCAAAGTGCTGGGATTACAGGTGTGAGGCACCACACCCGGCCGACTTGTATTTTATCTTAACCACCAGACCATTCCTCCTGCAGCTCAGGAGAGCAGCCTCCACTCCACTAGCTCACAGAATCCTAGAATCTTTGTGCTCTCACTGCAGTTCCCTTTGGGGTCCATGTTTTCCTTGCTCCCTTCCATGCCTATCTGGATTGCAGAATTAAGTTTATGATTATTAAATAAAAACTAAATAACAACAACAACAAAAATTTGAGAGGTTTGCTGAGCACGGTGGCTCACACCTGTAATCCCAGCACTTTGGGAGACTGAGGCAGATGGATTGCCTGCGGTCAGGAGTTCAAGACCAGCCTGACCTACATGGTGAAACCCCGTCTCTACTAAAAATACAAAATTAGTTGGGAGTGGTGACGCATGCCTGTAATCCCAGCTACTTAGGAGGCTGAGGCAGGAGAATCACTTGAACCCAGGAGGTGGAGGTTGCAGTGAGTGGAGATCACACCACTTTACTCCAGCCTAGGCAACAAAAGCGAAACTCCATCTCAAAAAAAAAAAAAAAAATGAGAGGTTTTACATAAGTCTGGATTTGTGACATCTCTGGTAAAACTGGAAAATGTGATGTTGGGCCCGTTGGGCAGCTGGCACTGGGATGGCTGCTCCTCTATCAACCTACTCCAGGCCAGGGGCACCCTCTTCACCCCTCCTCAAAACCCACCTGGGCCCTGGTGGCATCTGCATCTGTCACCCCAAGATATTCATTTGGGGAGTCACTCAGCACCTCCCTAAATACCCTACTGCTAGGCACCTACTCCACGCCAGGCACCTGGTATGTGCTACTGTCACCTGGCAAAGGGACAGGATAGTGCTACCTCTTTCTTCCAGCCTGTCCCATGCAACCCTTCATGATTTTCTAAGTTTGGGATTTTTTCTTCATAACTACCCAGGTAGACAAGCGGGGCCAAACACACCCACTTTTCAGCTGGGGAAACTGAAACCCTGAGGCAGAATCAGAACCAAAAGCTGACATTCCGCTAACTTGGCACCCACTTTGTTCAGGGACCAGGGCAGTGAAAGGCTCTGCCTACCTCAGTGTGCCTGACCTTTCTGAACTTGACCCCTTGGGGCCAAGTGCCTCTCGCCTGCCTGGAAGGTTGCCTGCACCTTCAAACTAATTATTTCCCCAAATATAAAACAGGTGGGCATGTTGGCTCACTCTTATAATCTCGGCACTTCAGGGGGCCAAGGTGAGAGCATCGCTTAAAGCCAAGAGTTCAAGGCAACATTGTGCCATGATTGTACCACTGCACTCCAGCCTGGGTGGCAGAGTGAGATCCTGTCTCTTCAAAAACAAAAACAAAAACAAAAACAAAAAAACCCAAACTGTAATGCTGAATGTGCCTTGCAGATTCATACATGGTGGCTCCCACACTCCTGAGTTTCTTACCATTCTCTAAGTTAATGTTCACTACAGTAAGTGACAGTGAGGGCCTCCTCAGGTTGCCACTTGTGAAGGACACTCAGGTGTGCAAGCACCAATGTGCACACTGGCTCCTGCCCAGGCCCCACGATGCTGCTCCATAGCCTTGGTTGAGGGAGCGCTCACTCAATTTTGTGCACTTGCACGCATATTCACTCCATCCTGAACATAAGCCAGCACACAGGGGCACACTCAGACACACATGTGTGCATGCACACACAACAGCTGCCCAGTCCCAGATGACTTCCTCCAGCTCCTGCACAAGGTGGCCAGAGCAGTAGCCAGCTCTGCTGGAGCTCCCAGCTCACATGAGCTCACAGCAAATGCTGACCTCAGCCTGCAGTCCAGCCCAGTGGGCCCAGGCAGCCCTCTGAGGCCAGCAGCTGCCAGAGCAGAAAGCAGGACCCAGACGGGGCAGACCCCACCACATTCCCTGCCCGGGCCTGGCTCTTACTCAGTGGATGTAAGAGTGGGTATGTAAGCTCACCCCTGAACCCAAGTCCCAAAGCCTTCAGCCTAACCCCAGCAAGTGGGCAGTGGGTGCTGTGTGCCAGGCCATGTGCTGTGTGCCCATGACCTCTTGGTGGGGGGTTGCTGCAGGCGGCTCCCCAGGCTGAAGCATGCATGAATTGGTGCATGTGAGGCTGCACAGGTCTATGGGAATGTGATTGTACGCAGCCATGGGAGTGGGTGGCACATGGCCACTCAATGCTGGAGTGACAAGCAAGCTGCATGAGCCTGGCGTCGAGTGTGTGTAGGAGTCTGGGTGAGCATCCAAAGCCATAAGCAAGATGGACATTTTGCCCCTCTTCCTGTCTGGCTTGGCCCTGAGAGTCCGAGAGATCCAGCACTCAGGTGAGTGCTCACTGGGTCTGGAATGATTGGCAGGTCTGTGTCCACACATCCAGGGCCTGATCCCAGCAGATGTAGCTCTGCTGTTAGGAAAACCTGGAGACCCAGCTGGGACAACAAACAACTTCTGAGTGCCTCGGAGGATGATGAGATTTGAGGGAGCAGGGGCGCAGAGATACAGGAGGGGCAAGTATGTTGCAGGGGGCCTGGACTTCTGGGGGAGAGAGACTCAGGGCAGCACATGTGGCAAAATGATGGTCAGGCCTCCTGGGTGCTATACCCTGACACCAACGTTGCCTTGGCTGTGGACTCTGTGCAGGGCACTTGGCCTTTCTGAGCCACAGCACGCCCACCCCAATTGCCTGATGAGGAATAGTCTCTTGGCTCAGGGTAGTAGTGATAATGAGAACTCATGTAGGATGAGGGCCACAATCAACCCAACAGGCCTTGGGGCGGGGGGGGTCCCCTCATCACTATCACCCCCTCTCACTTGCAGCATCCATCCCACACTGCGCACCTTCCTTCACAGTTTACAAAGTGCACTCACATCCCCTACCACATGCATTTTCCAAGCCCTGCAGCCTGGGAAGACAGTCCTGGTTACAGACTCTACTGCTCAGATAGGGACACCAGGTCTCCATGAACATACAACTCACTCGGGAGCACCAGATGCTCCAATACCAGCCAGCCAGCTCCTCCTCCTGGCCACCGACCCTTGGGGCCCAGCCCTAATATCCCACAGGCTCCATGGCTTCCCCTGCCCCCAGCCTGCCCAGCAGGAGCTATACAGGAGGACTACCCCAGGACTGCATGGAGGGTGGAGGAGACAGTGGGTCAGAGAAGCCCCAGGAGGCTGAGGCAGAGGACCCACCCACCTGAGGGCGGCCCTCCAGCTCTCTCAGGCCACACTCAGAGCAGCTGCTGCTCACAGTTAGAAGCCATTGGAGGGAAAACCACAGGCCCCAGCCCTGAACCTGCACTGCCAGGCTGCAGTGCCATGAGAACTAGGGAGCCATGGTCTCCGTGGGCTGCCCAAGGCTACCCAGCAGTAACCAGAGGGTCAGACCCAACCTCCTAGGACTAAATCCAGGGCATGGGCTCTGGCCAGGTCCTGTCACCTCCTCTGCCTCAATTGTACTACCCAGAGCCCTGCATCTTCTTCCATCTCTGTGTGACCCTGAGAGAGGTCCTGGGCCTCTCTGGCCCACACGTCCCTGCTCTGCACAGCAGAGGCAGTCTGCCCCATCTCTCAGAATGTACGGCAGGGAGAAGGGGGTGAAGCAGCAGCACAAAAGCAAGGTGTGCTGACTATTTATAGTCCCCATGCAAATAGGCCCTGGGCCACAGGCCCCAAAGGAAGGCCGCTGGCTCAGCCCCAGACTCATGGCCAGAGGGTGCCGGGGGCTGGACCCCACACAGCCTCTATGGGGACAAGCTCCTTGGAGCCTGGCCTTTCCCAGCTGCCTAAGGGCTCCTAGCCTCTATTCTCTGCTTCTCCAGACTAGAGCAGAGGCAGCTTTATGAAGTAGAGAGCACTGGACTAAGGGTCAGTGACTAGGTATGAATCTCGGCTCCTCAACTTACAAGGACAGTTCTTTTCTGAGTCTGACAATGTAGCAGATTACCTTTGTAATTACATTCGCTCACTTTATGCCTATGCGGATCCAGAAGGTGGGCATTTTACTGATGAAGAAACCGAAGCTCAGAGAAGCTAAGTGACTGTTCAAGGCCACACAGCCAGTAAGTGGTGGGAAGATAAATCCAGGCCTGCCTGAGGTTGCAGCCCAGGTCCTTTCCAGTACGCCATGTTGGGAAGGAGAGAAAAAGGGAGAGAAGAGGGTAGAGGTGGAGATGGATAAAAGTTCCAGGAACAGCACAGACAAACACACATGAAGACAGAGAAAACAGGGAGGTAAGGGCTGCAAGAGACAGGTACCCCACGCCTGACCAGTGGTCTTCCCTCCTGATCTCGCCGCTTGAACCAGCCTCCATTTCCAAAACCTGGAGAAGG